CTCGGCTCACCGCAACCTCCGCCTCCTGGGTTCAGGCAATTCTCCTGCCTCAGCCTCCTGAGTAGCTGGGATTACAGGCACGTGCCACCATGCCCAGCTGATTTTTTGTATTTTTAGTAGAGACGGGGTTTCACCATGTTGACCAGGATGGTCTCGATCTCTTGACCTCGTGATCCACCCGCCTCGGCCTCCCAAAGTGCTGGGATTACAGGCTTGAGCCACCGCGCCCGGCCCCCTAGTTTTTGTATTTTTAGTAGAGATGGGGTTTTACCATGTTAGCCAGGCTGGTCTCAAACTCCTGACCCCATGTGATCTGCCCGCCTTGGCCTCCCCAAGTGCTGGGATTACAGGCATGAGCCACAGTCCCTGGCCCCAACAAATTTTTAGAGGCTTAAATGTATTCAACTTACCATCTAACAGAGATTGAAAATTCACATCAATAATCTTCCTTACATAACGGTTGTCCAGGAAAGGGAGACCAACTAGAACGAACCAGAATAATGCTACATGATTTATTTATTTTTTTTTAACTATCTGATTTGAAGCCACATAAAACACAGTACTTTAGAATCCTATTCCTTCTGTGTAGCATAGTTCTTTTCACAGGAAGTTGAAGGTTTATCCTTGAATCATTATTCTCTGTATATTGTAAAGGCTCCTCTGAGACTGTTCAACTACATTGATTAGCAGGTTTTTCAAGGAAATTTAATATGTAGTACACAGCTATATTTGTTAAGGCCTCCTCTCTTAACCCCTAACGTCTGTGCAAAGATAAATTTATTTTTTAGGAATTGTATATTTTTTAAAAAAAGGCTATAACCTCCCTATACCTATACTCCTTGTATAAATACAGTAAAAATGAGTTATGCTTTTAGCATTGCTATAACATGTTTTAGGTAGCTGAGATAGCTGCTCACGCCTCCAGATGAGGGTTATCTCTGTCTCTTAACTTGATTCTTATTCTGTTTGTTGAATGCTTTGTTAAATATTTTCTATGTGTTAGGCACCATGGACACGATGAGAAAAACAGATATACTCAACCTGTGCCCTCAAGAAGCTTATAATTCAGGGAGACATACAGATAACTGCACTAATAAACACGGCAAGAACTATATAATAAGCACTACTAAGGAAAACCACAGGAAGCAAGGAGAACATATAATAGAAGGGTGGGAAAGTGATCAGTGAGGCTGGGTGAAGTGGCTCATGCCTGAAATCCCAGCACTTTGGGAAGTTGAGGTGGGCGGATCATGAGGTCAAGAGATGGAGACCATCCTGGCCAACATGGTGAAACCCCATCTCTACTAAAAATATAAAAATTAGCTAAGTGTAGTGGTGTGTGCCTGTAGTCTTAGCTACTTGGGAGGCTGAGGCAGGAGAATCACTTGAACTCAGGAGGCGGAGGTTGCAGTGAGCTGAAATTGTGCCACACAGCATTCCAGCCTGGTGATAGAGCGAGACTCCGTCTCAAAAAAAAAAAAAAAAAAAAGAAAGTGATCACTGAGAGCTGAGCTCTTACAATTATTAGTAGGAGTTCATTAGTGAAGCAGGGGGAAAAGAGCTCTCAGGCATAAGAAACAACAGCATGAAGGTGTTGAGACAGGATGAATACAACTGAGCAGGAAAGACCACAATAATTTAAGGAAGTAAAAGAAGTCTACTGTGGCCAACACGCAGAGGTAGGAAGGTGGTATGAGATAGGAAAAGGAGAAAAATTCAATTCAGGCAGGGCTTTACAGGCTAGATCAAATACTTTGATCATTAGCGTAAGAGTAATAGTGCATAGTCAAATTTTCAATAATTACGCCGGGTGCGGTGGCTCAAGCCTGTAATCCCAGCACTTTGGGAGGCCGAGGTGGGTGGATCACGAGGTCAAGAGATCGAGACCATCTTGGTCAACATGGTGAAACCCTGTCTCTACTAAAAATACAAAAACATTAGCTGGGCATGGTGCGTGCCTGTAATCCCAGCTACTGAGGAGGTTGAGGCAGGAGAATTGCCTGAACCCAGGAGGCAGAGGTTGCGGTGAGCCGAGATCGTGCCATTGCACTCCAGCCTGGTTAACAAGAGTGAAACTCCGTCTCAAAAAAAAAAAAAAAATTTTTTTTCAATAATCACTATAGCTTCATAGCTTCAGGGAGGAGAAGGAGAAGATCCATAAAGTCCAGTTGGAATGTTATTGCAGTCATCTAGGTTAGAGATGATTATTGACAGAATAGATGAAAAATAGTGGATGAATATTAGGAAATTAAAACCAGTAGGTTGGGTGCTGTAATCCTAGCACTTTAGGAGGCCAAGGTGGGAGAATCACTTGAGGTCAGGAGTTCAAGACCAGCCTGGCCAACATGGTGAAACCCCATCTCCACAAAAAAATACAAAAATTAGCCAGGCGTGGTGGTGCATGCCTGTAATCCCAGCTACTTGGGAGGCTGAGGCAGGAGAATCCCTTGAACCAGCAGCAGAGGTTGCAGTGAGCAGAGATTGCACTAGTGCACTCCAGCCTAGGTGGCAGAATAAGTGAGACTCTGTCTCAAAAAAACAAAACAAAAACAGTATATCTTACTGATTATTTGAATATGTACATCGAGGGAGAAAGAGGTATAGAGTGATTCCTCAGTTTTAATTTTGAACCTGGACAGAAGGTAATGCTAGTCACTGAGAAAAGAAACTTTCAAGGAGAATCAGTTTTAGAGGCCCAGAGATTGTGAAGATCCTAAATTCTAAAACGGCCATGTTTGCCCCTGGTTGGCCATTTGAAGCTGATTGGTTAAAGAAAAAAGATACTTGACAATTAGGAGACTCCAACAAAACAGCTGGGCCTCTGTCCAGTTACCATATACTGATTTCTACCCTATACAGTGATTTCATCCTTTCAGATGAAAAACCCACCTATACACACAACTTCCAAATAACTTGTTAGGGCTTCACTCTTAAGTTAAAAAAAAAAAGAAAAAAAAAAAAAAAAAAAAGAAGAAACACTAGCCATAGCCATTAGAGTAAATTCTCCTATTCTCTATAACGAAAGATGGAGATTAAAAGAAAGAAGCTCACAGTAAATGGAAATGAGTAGCATGTTTATCCATTATTTGGATAGCAAAACTTTTATCATTTAATGTAATTCAACAAAGGGCAACTTTCACTAACTGCATTTTAATTTTCTTTACAAAATAAAATTCTGCTATCACTAAAGATGACTCTTCTAAGACTTTCAGCAGTGCTCTCATCAATTCAATAGTTATCAGTATAGCAAAATAAATATTTGAATCTTTAGTTAGTATAGCCATTCATTTTTCTGTAGAGAATTATCTCACTTTGGCTCCTTACCAACTGACTCTCCAAAGGTAATGGTGAGTTCTATCGAGTCATAAACAAAGGTGAATACAGCTTGATCATCACTCCACTCAACAACATCCCACTCAGACAAGCTGAAGAGAGATCAACAAGATTTTTAAAAAGCATTTTTGGAATCAAGATAAAACCAAACTTCTGATACCACCCAAACAGTACCAATAGCAGCTGCTAATGTTTTTCCACTGGATTGGGAGACAATCAATATTTCAATTGAAATATTGAGTGTCCAAACTTAAGTTTATGAAAAAAGTAAGAACCCAATTTTGAGTTGTATATTGGAGAAACACCAAGTCTAGGCAATGAACGATGTAAAATATTGAAAAATTCTAAGTCCATAATTCTACTCTATTTTCAGCTTACTGTTGGGTACACTGACTCTTTTTGAGACTGCACTGTACAAGTTAAAAACAGCAACACATTAAAAATACATCAACTGCTCCAGTAGTTTCAGACAACCATAAGGTACAGATTAAAACACAAACAAATGACACTTGCGTTTCCTTACCTCAACTGATCCAGTAGCTCTTCAGTTCTATTTGTTTGTTTTTGCATAAAGTCTATTTGAGCAAGGGTCTGCTCTTTTTGTACCTCCAGTTCTAAGAGATTTCTGCAAAAAAAAAAAAAAAAAAGCAGGTATTCACAGAGAGATAAGTCTTTTCTTAGAGAATTCAAACTCTATCAATATAAAAGGTTTATGATAAGAAGTCACATGCTACATGACTCCCCATTGAGGTAATAAAGTTAGGTGTATAGCATCCATTTCTGCATTCTTAGTTTTTTTTTTAAAAATAAGCATTAATCTAGAAGTGTGTCTACCTGAGAAAGGCATAAATCATTGTGTTTCAAATTAGGATCCATGAAGATATCCTTGGGATTCACATGTTAAGATAATTATTAAATATTACATTTTTATTTTTGATAAAAACCAAAAATATAAAAATATAAGCATAATGTAGATAAGATCTACCTTAAAACTGAGACATGTCAGTTAATTTAATTTCAGCCAAACACTGTCCCCTGTCAAATCAATGTTGTCAACTAGAATTTTAGAAATTTAGTCATTATTTCTATTTACTTGATTTTAGACTGATAGCTGAGTTAAGAGTCACAGGCCTAAGAAAGATACTCTTCATTTTACACTTGTTTATTTTTATATTTATTAAACAAAAAGGATACTGGTAGTTTTCAAGCTTTAGAAACACTGTTTTGGATAAATGCCCTGCAAACAATAAGTGCTTCAAAACTATTGTTGACTAAGATGGACTCTAGGGTTCCATTCGAAGTGAAGAAGCCCTGAGTCAGCCTAAGTCAAGATTCATGTCCCCAGTCCTGTCAGTCTCTGGAAGCAGGAAGTCATCTAGCCTTCTGTAGTTTGGTATTATATTTTCTGACAGTTGGATTGAAGGCTGACCTTTGAAACTCCTCTTCCTCAGTTTTCAGCTGTTCCAGTTCTTTGGAAAAAGAAAAAACAAACAAACAAACAAACAGAACAAATACATTAGAATGTTGCCAAAAAAATCATCTGTTTTACTAAAAAGTCTATCTGACTTAATCCCATCTAAGTATATAAACAAATTTAGAACAGAAGGGCTTCCCCCACACCCATTTAACTCCTTAACTACTTCATTTACCTTTCTCTGCAGTTCTCATTTCAGAGTCCCATTCTTCCACAAGATTGTCTTTCTCTTCATTCTCCAAATTCTTAGTTTCTAAAGTAGACAACACGTGTTACAATAATTCAGTAAAAAAGGAAACAAAATAGGGTAAAAATAGAACTATTCAGTCAAAAACTTTCTCTTCATCCTCCAAATTCTTAGTTTCTAAAGTAGACAACATGTGTTAGAATAATTCAATAAAAAATAAGTAAAACAGAAAACAAAATAAGGAAAAAAAGAATAATTCAGTCAAAAACAATTTACTAAACAATAAGAGATTGTGTTTCTTTAGTAGTAGGAAGTTTAGAGGTTCCAGTCTGATGTCTTCTATTTTTTTTTTCTGTGAAAGAAAAAGTAAGGTAGTCAACAAAGGGGTGAAGTTTAGACCATGGAATTCATGTACTCATTGTCAATTCAGTGCCAACAACATGTACTAGGCACTTATTCTGTATGAAACTAGGGACTCTGAAGAATATGCAGAAAAAGAAGAGCTAATCCTTGACTCCACAGAGATCATAATTTAATCAGGAAGAAAAACTATCCAAGTAACTATAATACAAGTAGATGATGTGATGGGTGATATAAAAAGTACTAACAAATCCAGACGAATGGTCATCTAAAAAAAAGAAAAAAAAGTACTAACAAAATAGCCATGGGAGCTCAAGGTATACAGACTATTTCTTTTGGTGAAAAACAGAAGAGAATGTAATAGCAAAGACAAAAGTGGTAGAAATGGTCAGCCTAGTGGTGTGTGCCTGTTGTCTCAACTACTAAGGAGGGAGGATTCCTTGAGCCCAGGAGTTTGAAGCTGCAGTGAGCTATGATCATGCCATTACACTTCAGCTTAGGCAGCAGAGTGAGACTCTGTCTCTTAAAAAAAAAAAAAAAAAAAAAAAAAAAAAAATGCAGGATAGTGGCTCATGTCTGTAATCTGAGCACTTTGGGAGGCTGAGGTGGGCAATCACTTGAGGCCAGGAGTTCGAGACCAGCCTGGCCAATATGGTGAAACCCCATCTCTACTAAAAATACAAAAATTAGCTGGGGGTGGTGATGCATGCCTATAATCTCAGCTACTTGGGAGGCTGAGGCACAAGAATCGCTTAAACCCAGGTGGCAGAGGTTGCAGTGAGTAGAGATCACACCACTGGCCTGGGTGACAGAGAATCTGTCTCAAAAAAGTGGCAGAACTGCATAAAAACATCAATGTTTGATTGGAATTTAGGATGTGTATGGGAGTAGTAACAAACCACCTAAATCTGAAAACTGTAGAGAACATGAAATGTCCAGCTCAGAAGTTTGGACTTTTTCTTTTTTTTTTTTTTTGAGACGGAGTCCTACTCTGTCACCCAGGTTGGAGTTCGGTGGTGCTATCTCGGCTCACTGCAACCTCTGCCTCCTGAGTTCAGGCGATTCTTCTGCCTCAGCCTCCTGAGTAGCTGGGACTACAGGCTCACACCACCACACCTAGCTGATTTTTGTATTTTTAGTAGAGTCGAGGTTTCACCATGTTGATCAGGCTGGTCTCAAACTCCTGGGATTACAGGCTTGAGCCACTGCACCCAGCCTTCTTTTTTCTTGAAGCCAACCACAGAGAGTTAAGTTTGGATTTTATTTTGTAATAAATGGAAGGACAGAAGTTTTTCAGAGGAGTGACATTAATGAAAACTGTCTTTCATTATTATTAATTTGGCAGCAACATGCAGGTTGGACTGGAAGGAGGCAGAATAATGGTAAAAATGTATAAAGATGAGTTAGAAGACTGAAATAGCACATTTCAGAATTAATGAGAGCCTTAATGCGACAGGGAAAAAAAACACATGAGATGCCAAAGCTGCTGACGTGACAGGACTTGTTAAGAGAGCATCAAAGACAATGAAAGTATTGAGCCTTTTAAAATGTGTAAGAATTGTGACTGCTATAAATAAAGATGATAAACATCATAAGAGAGAACAAATTTTTGGATTTATCTTGGAGTTGAGAGAAGATAATATATTTAAATGTATTTATTTATTTAGTTCGCTCTGTCGCACAGGCTGGAGTGCAGTGGTGTGATCTTGGCTCACTATAGCCTTGACCTCCTGGGCTCAAGAGATCTTCCCATCTCAGCCTCCCAAGTAGCTAGGATTACAGGCATGTGCCACCATGCTGAGCTAACTTTTTTTTTCTTTTTGTAGAAATAGAGTCTCATTATGTTGCCAGGCTAATACATTTCATTTTATTCACAGAGTTTAAGGAGCTTAAGGATACTTCTGCATAGAGGTTCAGAAGGAAGCTAGAAATTAAGCCTGGAACTCAAGAGTGAGGGGCTAAAGATGTCCTCACATGAAATGATTACAAGCTACTTTAGGGCAAAATTTGTGTCTTAAATATTTTTATTTCTTTTCTGATACTAAGCACAGTATCTGGCAAGCAGTAGATGCTCAACAAATGCTTGGAGATTTAACTAAAATTGGGAATCAGTCACATAATTATTAAGGCAGATGAATGCACTGGGAGAGATAATATAGAAAATAATAGATGATAAAATTTAAATCCCCACAAAGGAAGGCCGGGCGCGGTGGCTCAAGCCTGTAATCCCAGCACTTTGGGAGGCCGAGGCGGGTGGATCACGAGGTCAAGAGATCGAGACCATCCTGGTCAACAAGGTGAAACCCCGTCTCTACTAAAACTACAAAAACTTAGCTGGGCATGGTGGCGCGTGCCTGTAATCCCAGCTACTCAGGAGGTTGAGGCAGGAGAATTGCCTGAACCCAGGAGGCGGAGGTTGCGGTGAGCCGAGATTGTGCCATTGCACTCCAGCCTGGGTAACAAGAGCGAAACTCCGTCTCCAAAAAAAAAAAAAAAAAAAAAAAAATCCCCACAAAGGGTCGCTCATGCCTGTAATCCCAGCACTTTGAGAGGCCGAGGCAGGCAGATCACCTGAGGTCAGGAGCTCAAGACCTGCCTGGCTAACATGGTAAAACCCCATCTCTACAAAAATACAAAAAGTAGCCAGGCTCAACGGCAGGTGCCTGTAACCCCAGCTACTCAAGAGGCTGAGGTGGGAGAATCGCTTAATCCTGGGAGGCGGAGGATGCAGTAAGCTAGAGATCATTCCATTGCACTCCAGACTGGGCGACTGAACGAGGTTCCATCTTCAGAAAAAAAAAAAAAAGAGGCCAACAGAGAAGTTGGATGCAGCAGCCAGGAGAAAACAACTGAGTCAAGGTAGTACACTATCACTATCACACAGGTTAAGGGGATGAATGTTTCAGGCAAAAAAGAACATTCATCAATGTCAAATTCTGAAAGAGGTCAAAATGGCTAAGGACTGGGAAGAACAAAATTTGATGACTAAGCAGAATTATGTGATTTTTGAGAAAGGAGTTTCAGAGTAACACTAACAACTTGGGCTTCTGAAAGGCCAAACTGAAAGGATAGACAGTTTTCAAACTGAGATAAATTAATCTGTTATAAAAACACAAAACTGGCTGGGCATAGTGGCTCATGCCTGTAATCCCTACACTTTGGGAGGTTGAGGTGGGCGGATCATGAGGTCAGGAGATCGAGACCCCTGGCCAACATGGTGAAACCCTAGCTGTATTAAAAATACAAAAATTAGCCAGGCATGGTGGCGGACGCCTGTAGTCCCAGCTACTTGGGAGGCTGAGGCAGGAAAATCACTTGAACCCGAGAGGCGGAGGTTGCAATGAGGGGAGATCATACCACTGTACTCCAGCCTAGTGACAGAGTGAGACTCTATCTCAGAAAATAAAACAAAACAAAACAAAAAACACACAAAATTAGTCTAGGTTATCTTGAGCAGCTCTTGTTGACTGTATTACGGATGACTATAGTAAAGGAACTTTAATTTGCATTCATTCATTCATTCGCTCATTTAGACGGAGTCTTGCTCTGTTGCCCAGGCTGGAGTGCAGTGGTGCAATCTCAGCTCACTGCAACCTCCGCATCCCGGGTTCAAGCAATTCTCTGGGTTCAAGCAATTCTCCTGCTTCAGCCTCCCAAGTGGCTGGGATTATAGGCATGCACCACCACCCAGAGTTAATTTTATATTTTTAGTAGAGATGGGGTTTCGCCATGTTAGCCAGGCTGGTCTCGTACTTCTGACATCAGGTGATCTGCCTGCTTTGGCCTCCCAAAGTGCTGGGATTACAGGCATAAGCTACCACACCCAGCCAACTTGCTCTAATTTAATATCTCAAGCTGCTAATACAAGTCTTCAATATAGTGACACCAATACTCTACTGTAGAAAAGCATTTATATAAAATTAAATTTTCTTTTGGAAAAGAATTTAAAATACTTTACCTATTTCCACCTCAGTGAGACAGTTATCGATCTTCTTAAGTATTTTATCCGTCTCATCTATCTTTGTCTGAAGTTTCTCCCTCTCATTCTAAATACAAAAGATTAGACTGTCAAATTAAACCTCCAAAGTATTACAAATCGTTCAAATTGCTCACATAATTGCTCTATCAGGGTCATGAACAGGCAAATCTTAAAATGAAAGTCAAAGCTTTAAGTTGGAACTTAAAAAACAAAAGTAAATTTTATTAAAATAAGTTTTAGCCAAAAGAACTCTGGAAAATAAGTTTATTTTACAAATTTATTAAATATTTCATTAAAAAAATAAAATCATATAAAAAGTATATTGACATAGAACTAATTTTTGTACTTTATTTTAGCATTTCTATATGTGTTCCATGGAATATAATATATTACTATTTATTACTTAAAAATATTTCTGTGATGAACTAAACATGGGAAACATTGGTCAAAAAGAATTTAGCATTTATGTTTAGATTTTTAAAAATTTGTATTTCTCTGAAAGGGCATATTGTTTGCAACATTTCCAAATTTATTGGCCACTGGGAAGTTTTTTTTTTTTTTGAGACAGAGTCTCACTAGTCTCTGTTGCCCAGGCTGGAGTGCAGTGGTGCAATCTCAGCTCACTGCAACCTCCGCCTCTCGGGTTCAAGCGATTCCCCTGCCTGGGCATCCCGAGTAGCTGGGATTACGGGTGCACACCACCATGCCTGGCTAATTTTTATATTTTTAGTAGAGATGGGGTTTTGCCATGTTGGTCAGGCTGGTCTCAAACTCCTGACCTCGTGATCCGCCCGCCTCAGCCTCCCAAAGTGCTGGGATTACAGGTGTGAGCCACCACACCCGGTGGAAAGTTTTTTTATCTAGAGCCTTTTAAAAAAGCTAATTATTTTGGGAAATGCTACTTTAAACACATGTACATACATATAGAGCTAGGTATGGACTATGAAGAAGATAATACTATGGTATAGTCCTTGGCAATGGGAGACCAGAATCCTATATATTTTATTTCAGTATGTATGATGGATAATAGTATTTAAGATAAGACATAGATCCACTTTGGTAATTATATTCCAGTATTCCTCAAGATGTCAGGATCGGCCACTTTTAACAATTGAACCTTACCTCTTAATTTTAAGTTTCTGCCCAAGTCTTATTCACATATCTTCTAAGGAAGATTCTTCATATTCTATAACCACTATAAAGTATTTTTAATATCTCTTTCTTTCTATGATGTTAACTGTCTCAAATTACCTGAGCTGACTGCACCAGCTTGCCATACAAAGCCACTTTTCCTTGGTGAGTGAAGACTTTAGTCATCTTGGTGAAACGTGATTTTATTTTGTTAAGGTAAATTCCAAAGTCCTGTAGCTGAAAAGGAAAATTACAGAGTACATTGTACTAAAACAAATGAGTCAGAATAGGTAAATGGTCTAGGAATGCTACAATTTGCCCATCCTAAGGGCAGGATATTTGTCATTTGCAAATTTAATTCTATATAATTGTCTAAGACCAGAAAAAAAGATTTTAGTCTTGATTCCTGTCTTTAATTGATTTATTCATATTATTAATTAGAAAATGACAGGCTCTTAAAGAAACTTTTTTTTTTTTTTGAGACGGAGTTTCGCTCTTGTTACCCAGGCTGGAGTGCAATGGCACGATCTCGGCTCACCGCAACCTCCGCCTACTGGGTTCAAGCAATTCTCCTGCCTCAGCCTCCTGAGTAGCTGGGACTACAGGCACGCGCCACCATGCCCAGCTAATTTTTTGTAGTTTTAGTAGAGACGGGGTTTCACCATGTTGACCAGGATGGTCTCGATCTCTTGACCTCGTGATCCACCTGCCTCGGCCTCCCAAAGTCAAACTTTTAATATATTAGGGCACATATAAAATGGGCCAATTACTATTTAATCAATTAAAACAAATCTTTTTTTTGTCTAAATCTAAGTGAAAGGCAAATAGGAAGGAGGGAACCTTAAATAAACTTCAACTATATATTGAAGTTTAAATTGATAAATTAAATTGATTAATTGATCATCTCAGGTTTGTAAATATTACACATTGACAATTGCGTATAATTAAATAAGACCTTGGTACCGCATTACACCTAAAAAATAAGTTAAATAACTCATCACTAATGACCAAGTAATAGTTACTTATTTCACAATAGACATTGTTCAGAATGTCTTTACTGATTCCCATTCAGAAAATAAGACAAAAGTACCTCTTCGTCAGAGCAGTGTCTCATTTTTTCCCACAGGTTCTTATTTATATCAGCCAACAGTTTATCTTGGTTCGATGCAGAAAGCTTTAACCTAAAATACAAAAAAGTTAATTAGCACAGGATTCAAAACCAGCTTTAATGAACCAGCTCTGATCTATAGTCATGCTTAGCTTAACTCTTCCTAGTTTTTTTCTACATAAAAAGAGGCGAATTTGGCCAGGCTTAGTGGCTCATGCTTATAATCATAGCACTTCGGGAGGCTGAGGCAGGTGGATTACCTGAGGTCAGGAGTTCAACACCAGCCTGACCAACATGGAGAAACTCATCTCTACCAAGAGCACAAAAATCAGCCGGGCGTGGTGGAGCATGCCTGTAATCCCAGCTACTTGGGAGGCTGAGGCAGGAGAATCACTTAAACACAGGAGGCAGAGGTTGCAGTGAGCCAAGATTTTGCCACTGCACTCCAGCCTGGCCAACAAGAGCAAAACTCGGTCTCAAAAAGAAAAAAAAGGAAAAAAAAAAAAAAAGAAGGGAATTCACTCTATAAAAGCCTGATTATTCAATCTGATTATTCACTTGAAGAATAGCAGTTTAAGAATGTCATAAATCAAAAAACCTTCTATCACTAACAGAATTCTCATCTCAACATACCAACTTGTTCCAATGTGAAACATTTTGCTTATAAAGAATCCTTAAGGTCTATCAATGATCTACTATGAAGTTGTAGCTATTATTTTAACAAAAGTTCCCAATTCAGTTCAAAGTCTTCTCTCACATTTTTAGAATAGCATTTATAAAAGCAGCAAAGCTATTATAATCTTAGTCTTTTGTTAATAAATGGAGAAAATACATTTATAACAGAGATAGAAGATCTCTTGCAGAGTATATAGGCAGGCACATGGACGCAAAATCAAACAGTAAAGCACACCTAAACATACTGTTCACTGAGTGTAAGATCCCGTTTCATTCAAAATAAACATTCTTGGCCAGGCACAGTGGCTCATGCCTGTAATCCCAGCACTTAGGGAAGCCAAGACAGGTGGATCACTTGAGGTCAGAAGTTCAAGACCATCCTGCCCAACAATGGTGAAACCCCGTCTCTGCTAAAAATAAAAAATTAGCCCAGCGTGTTGGTGGGTGCCTGTAATCACAGCTACTCAAGAGGCTGAAACAGGAGAATCACTTGAAATCAGGATTCGAAGGCTGCAGTGAGTTGAGAGTGCGCCACTGTACTCCAGCCCAGGCAACAGTACAAGACTCTGTCTCAATTAAAAGAAACAAAATTCTCAGTGAAATCCTGACACAGCCAACTCTTTTAAATAACATGAAGATACAAAATTTGTCAGTCTTGTTCAGTGACGAACCCCAGTGCATAGTATAATGCCTGGCAGATGCAGGTGCTCAAATAAATATTTGTTAAATGAATAGAATCAGGCGAATCTGAAATATCTTAAATTTCTGATTTTAAAATTACATAATTATTTTTAAAATTTTAAATATTCTTTTTCTTCTACTTCCAAAACCCAGATAATTCTTAAAGATTATTTTATTTCTTTTTTGTTTGTTAGACTGGTTCAAATTTAGTTGGATAGTCCCAGATAAGTATGACATAAACATTATTTTGAGTTTTAAAGTCTGATTTACTGAAGGGAATCTAGATATATCTAATTTGTAAATCAGTCTGTAGTATTAATGTATACCATAACAATGAGCTATCTTCTAAGTAAAACCATGTTCCTTTATATATGTAAACAAGGGTAAATGTGGTAAAATTTTAAAGTCAAAGGCAATCTGATTTCAGGCACTACATACAGGTTAAGTATCCCTTACCTGAAATGCCTGGGACCAGAAGTGTTTTGGATTTTGGAATATTTGAATATACAAGATATCTTGCAGATGAAACCCAAGCCTAAACATGAAATTCATTTATGTTCCATATATACCTTGCACACATAGTTTGTAGGTAAATTTATAGAATTTTTTTGTTTTTTTAGAGACAGGGTCTTGCTATGTTGCCCAGGCTGGAGTGCAGTGACTCTTCACAGGTGCAATCAGCACAGGAGTTTTGACCTACTCTGTTTTCAGCCTGGGCCGGTTCACCCCTCCTTAGGCAACCTGGTGGTCCCCTGCTCCCGGGAGGTCATCATATTGATGCCAAACTTAGTGCGGACACCCACTTGGCATAGTGCACTACAGCCTAGAACTCCTGGGCTCAAGCCATCCTCCCACCTCAGCCTCCCAAGTAGCTGGGACTACAGGCATGCATTACTGCACCTGGCAATTTATACAATATTTTAAATAATTTTGTGCATGAAGCAAAGTTTGTGTAAAACACTTATATTTATGTGTGGCATTTTCCACCTGCATCATATTGGTGGCTAAAACGTTTTGGATTTTGGAGCATTTCAAATTTCCAATTTCCAGATTAGAGATACTCAACTTGCATAAATCTCTGAAAGATATTTTCTTTCAAAGATGTTCTCTAGCAATCAACTTATAATACTGTAATCTAATAATTACTGTTTATTCTTATTAAGGACCTACTTTTTCCTAAGAATGGTATGAAAACAATTTATGTATGCAATTTCTATTGTTCACATCTTTTGGCTGAGTAGGTTTTATTATCTCCACTTTATGGATTTAGACATGAAGGTTAAATGACTTACCTGAGGATATACAGCTAGTGTTGAAGCCAAGACTGAGCTTCAGTCTGACTACAAGGCTGAAGCTCTTTCCCCCACATCACACAGCCAATCAATGCCATGGAACTGCCAACTAATACTATCCACTTTTCCCCGTGCCAGTGTTATTCTAATCAAAACCTTACCACACAAACTATTCACTGATCCCTCGCCTAAAAAAAAACACCACACATAAACAAAGCTTTCATACTCTTCAATCTGTTGGCGACGAGCTTCACAATCTTGTCTATAAATCTGTATCTTGGGTCGGTAAACATATTGACTTAACAACAGGTCTTCTGGAGTAGGCGGTGTGTTTATGGTAAACTGGAAAAAAAAAATGAGTGCCTGTGAACAGGTATCTTGCAGACAAAACCATATATAAGAATTAACTCAAATTTCAGAGTGCCTATTTTAAAACATTCTACAAAGAAAAATTTGAATACTCCATTACGTTCATAATGCTAGCAAGCAAAAAATTTGAATCTGAATTCAAGTCTCTGACTTCTAAGTCCATTTACCCATAGATGTTTATGGAACTGTGGCTGTTTCACTCACAAGGGAATGAAAGTAGTTCGAAAAATGCTATGCGTTAAGAAAATAAATACTACCGGCCAGGCGTGGTGGCTCACGCCTGTAATCCAAGCACTTTGGAGGCCAAGGCGGGTGGATCACCTGAGGTTGGGAGTTCAAGACCAGCCTGACCAACATGGTGAAACCCTGTCTTTAAAAAAAAAAAAAAAAAAAAAAGAAAATAAATACTACCTAAAAATTCAAACTTACCAGGAACCCTTTTTAATTTTTCTTTTTAAGCCAGTTTCCTTGTAACTATTCCCATTCTCTAGCCATAATCCTTACTCTACCCCAGGCTGAACTCAAACTTTTCTGACATATCCTCCATTTATAAAATAAGGCAGTGAAAACTGGGTTATTTAAAAATGTTTTATAGCACTAATCCAATGGCTTTGATGTCCTTGACGCAGTATTGAAAAAAATCAAATTGGGGTCAGGCACAGTGGATCACACCTGTATTCCCAGCACTCTGGGAGGCAGTGGGTGGATTACTTGAGGTCAGCAGTTTGAGACCAGCCTGGCCAATAAGATGAAACTCCATCTCTACTAAAAATACAAAAATTAAATGGGCATGATGGCACACATCTGTAGTCCCAGCTACTTGGGAGGATAAGGCAGGAGAGTTGCTTGAGCCCAGGAGGCGTAGGTTGCAGTGAGCCAAGACTGTGTCACTGCACTCCAGCCTGGGCAACAGGGCAAGACTCTATCTCAAAAAAAGAAAAAGAAAAAAGAAAAGAAAAAATCAAGTCAGCTCCTTATTTATAAAAATCAAACAAAACCCCACAACTGAACCTCCAATTCCTAGGCTCAAGCAATCTTCCCTGCTCATCTTTTCTAGTAGCTAGAATTACAGTTGTGTATCACTATGCAGACATGGCGATAATTTTTTTTTTTTTTTTTTGAGACAGAGTTTCACTCTTGTTACCCAGGCTGGAGTGCAATGGCGCGATCTCGGCTCACCGCAACCTCCGCCTCCTAGGTTCAGGCAATTCTCCTGTCTCAGCCTCCTGAGTAGCTGGGATTACAGGCACGCGCCACCATGCCCAGCTAATTTTTTGTAGTTTTAGTAGAGACGGGGTTTCACCACGTTGACCAGGATGGTCTCGATCTCTTGACCTCGTGATCCACCCGCCTCGGCCTCCCAAAGTGCTGGGATTACAAGCTTGAGCCACCGCGCCCGGCGACATGGCGATAATTTTGAAATTTTTTGTAGAGATGGGGTCTTGCTATGTTGCCCAGGATAGTATCAAATTCCTGGCCTCAAATGATTCTCCTGCCTCAACCTCCAAAGCACTGGGATTACAGATGTGAGCCACTGTGCCCGGCTACAACTAGCCTTTTTTTTTTTTTTTTTTGAGTTGGGGTCTGGCTGTCGCATAGGCTGCACTTTAATGGCATGATTATGGCTCCCTGCAGCCTCAGCCTTCTTGGATCAAGTAATCCCTGACCTCAGCCTGCCAAGTAGCTGGGACTACAGGTGCATGCCAGCTACCATTCCTTTTTTTTGAGATGAAGTTTCCCTCTTGTTGCCCAGGCTGGAGTGCAGTGGCACCATCATGGCTCACTGCAACCTCCACCTCCTGGGTTCAAGTGATTCTACTGCTTAGCCTCTCGAGTAGCCTGGATTACAGGTGTGCACCACCACGTCCAGCTGTGTATTTTCAGCAGAGACAAAGTTTCACCATGTTGGCCAGGCTGGTCTCGAACTCCTGACCTCAGGTGATCCACCCACCTCAGCCTCCCAACGTGCTGGGATTAGAGGCGTGAGCCATCACACCTGGCCAAAAAAGTTTTTTTTAGGTACGGAGTTTTGCTATGTTGCCAAGCTGGTCTCAAACTCCTAGGCTCAAGTGATCTTCTTGCTCTGGTCTCCCAAAGCGCCGGGATTATGAGCATGAACCACTGTACCCAGCAAAAAAAAAAAAAAAAAAAATTTTAAGGTTAGAATTACACATAAAAATTGAAACTATATGTACTGGTTAAAAAAGAAGTCGTGGCTGGTTACAGTGGCTCACAGCTATAGTCCCAAAAACTTTGGGAGGCAAAGGTGGGCAGATCACGAGGTCCAGAGGTCCAGACCATCCTGGAGTATGACTCTTTAAAAAAAAAAAAAAAAAAAAAAAAAAAAAAAAATGCAAACCCAGGCACAGTGGCTCATGCTGTAATCCCAGGAGGTTGAGATTACACTCCTGGGACTAGGAGGTTGGGAGCGTCACTTGAGGCCAGGAACTTGAGACCAGCCTGAGAAACACAGCAAGACCTTGTCTTTATTATTTTTTTATTCTCTTTTTTTATTTCCCAGATCCCTGTTCTTTAAAGACCTTGTCTTTAAAAAAGTTTTTAAACATTAGCTGGGCACGGTGACAAAATGAGCCATCTCTAAATATAAATAAATGACAAATTGGGCTTTCTAAATACCATTTCCCCCACAAAAAGAAATCAGGAGTCCTTGGAGAAATGGACTGCCTTTCCTACAGGAACCAAACAATTCATGAAGAAATATGTCTTTATAGAAGTATTTAGACAATAAATAAGAAATTACAGAATTACAGGTTGAGTATCCCTTAACCAAAATGCCTAGAACCAGAGTATTTTGGATTTTTTTTTTTTTTTTTGGAGGCAGAGTCTCACTCTGTCGCCCATGCTGGAGTGCAGTGGTGCAATCTTGGCTCACTGCAACTGCTGCTTCCCAGGTTTAGGTGAGTCTCCTGTCTCGGCCTCCTGAGTAGCTGTGACTACAAGGGCATGCCACCACACTGGCTTAATTTTTTGTATTTTTAGTAGAGACGGGGTTTCACTATGTCGCCCAAGCTGGTCTCAAACTCCTGAGCTCAGGCAATCCGCCCACCTTGGTGTCCCAAAGTGCTGGGAATACAGGTATGAGCCACCACGTCTGGCCAAGTATTTTGGATTTTTTTCAAATTTTTGGAATATTTACATATACATAATGAGATATCTTGGGTATGGAACCTGTCTATACATTAAATTCATTTATGTTTCATATATATCTTATACATATAGCCTGACAGTAATTTCATTCAGTATTTTAAATAATTTGCATGAAACAAAGCTTATATACATTGAACCATCATAAAGGTAAGGTATCACTATCTCAGCCACCCATGTGGACTATCTGTGGTTGTTAGGCAACACCTTCATTCCTGACTCACGGTACATTTTGACAGCAACCCATTACATGAGGTCAAGTATGAAATTTTCCACTTGTGGCACCATGTCAGCACACAAAAATTTTGGGTTTTAGAGATTTCAGATTTTTGATTTTTTGGATCAGGGATGCTCAACCTGGAGCGTATCACTACTTTACAACTCCTAATGAATTAATGGCTGCATACATATCATCACCAGACATTATATTATCTATCTTCTAATGGAATTACAATAAACTTGAAAAAAAAAAAACCAAAATCTGTTAATCTGATCAAGCTTCTATCAATTTACAAAAAACACAAGGACAGAGAAATATTGGGTATGGACAATTAGCAAAATCCAGACTGTGGTAAACTCTACAGGAAAAATCTGGTTTCTTCATTAAAAGGAAGGAAGGAAGAAAAAATAAAGATCAAAAAAATTTTAAATACAAAAGAAGAAAAAGAGATGGAAAAGGACCTTACAGATTATAAGACTAGAGAGAGAGTTCAGCTAACTGCAATGTTTGAATTTCATTTGGATCCAAGATAACAAACTGGAAAAAAAAAAAGGCCTAAGATGATCAGGGAAATATAAACACTGACTGAATAACCATTTTATGGTATGACTATGGTATTGGATACATTTTTAAAATAAGAGTCTTCATCTTCTTAGGGATACATATTTTAATGCTTACAGATTGGTTGATGATGCTTGGGATGTGCTTCACAATAATGGAGGAGGGGAAATAGAAGGTTAGGTAGAGAAAAAAAGTGAGAGTAGATTTTTTTTTTCTTTCTGTGTTTTTTTTTAGGAGCTGATAATTTTTTAAAATTTTGAGATAAGATCTCACTCTGTTGCTCAGGCTGGAGTGCACTGGTGTGATCTTAGCTCACGGCAGCCTCCACCTCCTAGGTTCAAGCGACTCTCTCACCTTAGCCTCCCAAATAGCTGGGGACTATAGGCACGTACCACCACTCTCAGCTAATTTTTGTACTTTTTTGGTAGAGGGGGGTTTTACCATCTTGGCCAGGATGGTGGTCTCGAATTCCTGACCTCAAGTGATCCTTCTGCCTAGGCCTCCCAAAGTACTGGGATTATAGGTATGAGCCACAGCACCAGGCCAAGAGTTGGTAATTTTTGAAGCTGGGTGACAGACACACAAGGATTAATAAAACTACTCTATTTTTGGATATGTTTGAAATTTTCTATGAGACTAAATTTTTTTTAAAAAAGGTTTCATCACAAACTTTCCTAACACATAAAGTGAAGTACAAGACCATGTTCCCAGAGATCTGCCAAGAATAAAAGTGCCAATGAATATTATGCTCATGCACAGGCTACTCTTTGAGACGGAGTCTTACTCTGTTACCCAGGCTGGAGTGCAGTGGCCCGACCTCGGCTCACTGCAACCTCCACCCGCCAGGGTTCAAGTGATTCTCCTGCCTTAGCCTCTTGAGTAGCTGGGGTTACAGGCGTGTGCCACTACGCCCTGCTAACTTTTGTATTTTTAGTAGATATTAGAAGTATTTTTAGTAGATTTTAGTCTGTCACTGCGCCCGGCTAATTTTTCTATTTTTAGTAGCGACAGGGTTTCACCATCTGGG